TCTATCTGTCTCTGATGAAAACCTATGATATATTCACAAGTAATAAAGAACAAAACCTAGACCACTCACTGCTTCAGTTTCTGGAGCTCAGCTCCTTGGTGTGCATCGTCCAGGCTGTAGACATCCCTTTTTCCTTGCAGAATCAGGTTGAATTGCATACTCTGTCCCACAGTTGGTGTAGCACATGACCATTCTTGGGTGTCTCTAACTCCAAGCAGACTGGCATGGGCAGCCTGCCACGGTGTGCTGTGTTGGGCAGCTCTCTTGCTCCTCATCCTGCAGTGGCCTTTCTTGTGTGTGGATCTGGTCTAGGTATTTTCACAGCTGGGACATTTGAGGTCAAGCCAGGTGAGTGGGAGTTGAGCCTTGGCAGGGCGCAGGCTGGAAAGAGGAGGTGGAAAGGGAGAGTGTGTAGAGAAAGAGCTCAGTGTGTGGAGGATGGGAAACTCTTGGGGGTGATCAGAGCCAGCTTGTTAGCAATAAACAGTCACCTGCCCTGCCAAGGGAGGCTTATTGTACCCTCTTTTAGCAAGAAGGGCTCCGTCACCTTCTTCCCATAACAATTCTCCCTGATGCACTCACCTGCCATAACTAGGAGCCACAATTGGAAAGATCCAGGTGGTTTGCCAGGGCTGCTGGTGTAGATCACCCAATGCCTGGTGGCTTGAGCCACAGACATGTATTCCCCTAGTTCTGGAGGATGAGCCTGAGGATGGGATATGGGCTCCGAAGAAACTGCTCCAGTTTCCTGTAACTTCCTGGAGTTCCCTGGCAATCCTTGATGCTCCTTCACTTCGGGAGGCCTCACCCTGGCCTGCTGTCCTTTACTTGGTATGCTCCCTCAGCCAAGTTTCCCCCTTCTCATGAGCGCATCAGTCACGTTGGAACACGCCCTCTATGGTGTGACCTCATCTTAACTCAATGTATCTACAAGGACTTTTGGAATTGGTCACCTTCTGGGTCACTGGGGTTAGAGTATCAGTATTAGGTGTTCTACAAAACTCATATGATATCCCACTAACCCCCTAAAATATTTGTTCTCTTGGGCATACTTTGATCTTCAGCTATGCAATAAATGGAACATTTTGAATCTCAAACTGAGATTCAAGGCACCCATAAATGCACAATCACACCCCATTCAGCAGACCCCATTCAGCAGTACTTACTACTGCTAAGTACTGGGAAGAACATGCCAGGCCCCAGGACCCTACAGATTGGGAAGAGGCGAGGCTCCTCCTACCTGGTCTCTGGGGGCCTGTGCCCTCCATCACCAGGCCAGAGAGTTCACGCTTCTTTCCCCAAGGACCCATATACCTTGAAAAGCTTGAGCTGAGCTGGGGCTTATATTAAATGAATATTATTGAGCATCTGCTACATGCCAGGCAGTGGAGAACAAGATCAAATACAGACTGCAACAGCACAGAAGTTAACATTCAACAGCACAGATGGTCAATATTTAAGTATCTCATGAATGATACAATTTTAGGTGGTGGTGCGTAGAATGAGAAAAATACAAAAACAGAAAAATGTGGGCAATAGCCTCTGATAGGTCATACAGAAAATTTCTTTCTGAGCTGGGAGCACAGTGTTCATGGTGTAGTTGAGTGCTCAGCCACTGGCCTTTCACCTGGTTTGGTCCCTTGAGGCCTCCTTGTTCCCTTGCATCTCTGGGATGTGTGGCTGTAGCTACCCCTGTCTCAGAGAGGACCGTCCTTCCCTGGCTGTCTCTTCTTGCCAACTGAGACCTTGTCAAAGTCATCATCATCATCACCCTGTGATGTCACAGGATGGTGGCCTTTCTGTGACCTAGTTCTAAAGGGCTGGGTGGGGAGGGATGGGCCATCTTGGTGCTCAGCTGATGCAGCGTCATTGCTCCCAGGTCTGACATCATTAGTGGCCAAGGCCCTGTTGCTTTCTGGGTGATAGGACTCAGAGGCTGGGCAGGAAGGCCACTGGTCCTGCTCCTTCAGCCTCCCTGCCTTTTCACAGGGCAGGGCTTTGTAGGGTGTCTGGCAGCACCCCACTCTGGCTGTGTGACCTTGGACAAATCGCTTATCCCCTCTGTATCTCTTCCCTTACTGTAAAAAAAGATCTCTATTTAACAGGGCTATTGTGAAGGATAAATGGCTCCTGGGTGTAAGGCACTTAGCTCCTACACACTGTAAATGGACAGAAATCACTGCTGAAATTGTCACTGCTATCTTTCCATTTCTTCTGCCATGATGCTTCCAGCAGGAAGGCTGGCGTTAGAAGGAACCCCTCTGGGGCTGTCTGCACCATCACTCCCCCACTTATCAGCCTCAGCTTGACTTGGTTGCAGCTCCCCAGCCCCATCCCCCTCTACTAGGCCCATGTGGCCATGCTGAGCCATCTCCATCCTGGGATGGATATGATCCCTTCACTCTCACAGAAGCCCTGTCTG